AAAATATTTGAGCAGAAAATTTTTGGTTCGCGCAGAAAAAAAGCATGTAAAAAGCTCATAATTTTGAGCTATTGACCGACTCATTCTGAGTACCCTGGCCGCCCAGCTTGACGGAGCTGTACATTCCCTATTTTGTATCTAGTGAAATGCTTTTTTAATTTTGTTGTCGAATTTGACCCCAAGTTTTCGGATCCTTTATGATGATTTTATTATTTCAACTTTGAAGGTTTGAATTTTAGTCTCGATATTTAACCGTTGGAATACATTTTAAAAATATGAAAAAATTGGAAAGTTGGTTTTTGGAAGTAGATTGATGAAATAATTTAAAAATTCACATTTTTGAGAATTATGAGCATTTTTTATAAATTATTTATAAACAATCAATTTTCCATTGTAAGAATCATTAGTTTGGAATTGTAACAAATTTACGAATATTCGGAATTTTACCAGAAATTGATTTTATGCCTAAAAAATAAAGTTTCCGAAATTTTAAACAATTCCAATTATTTAACTGTAAATAACGAATATTAAAAAAAAATGATAATCCTGTGTAAAATGTAATTTTAATCACGCTAATTGAATCATTAGAAAACATTTTAAAAATCTGAAAAAATTAGAAAGTTTACTTTTAGAGAAAGATCGATGAAATAATTAAAAAATTGCATTTTTAAAAATTCCGAGCATTTTCTATAAATAATTTATCAACAATCAATTTTCCACCATGAAAATCATTTGTTCGAAATCGTAACAAATTTATTAATATTCAGAATTTTGCCAGAAATCGATTTCATACGTCAAAAAATAAGGTTTCCGAAATTTTAAACAATTCCAATTATTTATTTATGAATAAGAAATCTTTAAAAAATTACTAATCCTATGCAAAATGTAATTAGAATGACGCTGAAGATTCACGATTTTTTTCAAATTTTTCTCACGCAATTTAATTCACAAATTTGATGATGGAAAATGGTTGAATCTACAGTGTGGTCTGTACGAAACTATAAAAGATACTTGGACATCCTCAATTTTCAAAAAGCAATATATTTTCAACGCCTAATGGGGGTGTAGCGTGCGGCGTGACAGCTTTCGCCCATAACCTCCAAAACGTGGGTGTTAACCATGTGGACGTGAGCTTTCATTCCCCCGCTTGAGCCCAAAACCAATGCTAAACAACCATTCCCGAATGATTTCTATTCTCTTCAAGTCATCGAGACTGAATGAAGCCACAGCCTATTGAAATTGTAAGGAAACAGAAGGTGTTGACCGCGTGGGAGTGATCTGAGGCCCATAAAAATAATCCAATAATCACTCCCAGCAGACAAAGTAAGTGTAAATCCCACCTGACTCCCGCATTTTCTCATCTCTTCTCTCTCCTAAATTCACAATTGATGATTTTCTGGGACAACGAGCCGCGTGTTCACGAAGCACATTCACATGCGTCTGTTCTAGTTCCACATGAGCGAAAATTTCAACGACAAAAAAAACTTGTTTTTAATGTTACTTTGTCGTGACGTATGAAAACAACACAAACGTCGCAATAACACGCGTCTGTCTCAGTGACATTTGATGCTATTGGAATTTGTTAGATGATGAGTTACTGTCAGCGTCGTATTTCCGTGGTCCACCTCGTGCTCACGGTTTATCCTAGTTTTTCATCAACCGCGTACAATGAAGGAACAATGAGACAAGGTAACGCGTAGACGGTGCGGTTGCATGGAATTTGCAGCTGCAACTGAGTCATGAAGTTCAACGGGGAATTCAGGTGGGACGGAATTTTTATAGCCAGCTGGGGGCTTTGTGTGGGTCGATGGTAGTGTGAATTCCTAGGTGAAGGGAACTTTGTGCGCAGTTCCTGGTATTGTAGGGAACTATTTCACCAAATTATGGTGACTAGACAGGATGCGCGCGATTCGTTAATAATAACATGTAGGAATTAGAACACGAGAAAATCATTTATTGTAATTAGAAAATTTAACAGCTGATAAATTGGGACATATGATTCACATCGGTCGTATTACTTTTTGCAATGAGAATGATTATAAACAATTGATTAAAATTATTTGATTAGAGAAATTTTTTTGGAAGCGTAAGATTTTTTCTTGGCTGGAAGGAGATTTTTCAAAAAATATTCAATGGAAACGGCTGGAAAAAATATGAGAAGTTCCAATACGTCCTTTACCCAAATCCTTGGAAAACCTAGAAATTTTAGTACATTTTTTGGTAATTAAGTTGAGACAATGTTCTCCAAGCCTCAGCCCCTGACCGTTTTTAGTTGTTCCAAATCCTCTCGTCAACCCAAGTGCCTCACTTTCTTGTTCCCTCCAAAAACCACCAATTAAACACGACATATCTCCATCGAATGGCACCCCATTTCCCTCCAAAATCTCAAATTACATTAGCATTTCTAATTGGCGACGCCTGGCGATATTAATGAGGGACTGCCGTCTCTGATCCCCGCAATAACATTATTTCACGCTCTGACCGAATCTCGGCCCTTGCGGTGAATCCCCCCAAGCAGATTGTCCCAATACGCGAATGCATTATACTCGAGTAATAGGGTAAGCTACCCAGTAGATGGACACTGCCCTGTAGATGGACGAACTATTTTTGGATAGGAAATTACGCAAAAAAACACTGAAATGTGAATTGTTGCTTTCAATTTTCACCAACTGTCGTGATTCTTAACCCCTGCGTGACGATTTTTTTTCGATCAATTTTTTTTTTTCATTTGCTAAAAAACAAACGTCCATCTACTGGGCGGTTTTCTTGGGCGTCCATCTACTGGGCAGTTTACCCTATTGACTACTGCATTTACCGTAGTTACCACTGCACTTCGATCGGAATTACCCTTTGAACGGAAATATAAACTTTAATACGTACGTGCGGCAATTGCGGTATCGCTGGGGTACGTTTGCCCAGGAAATTTTGAAGGAGTGTAGCGTAAGTAAAGTACACGCCGTCAGATTCAAACACAAGTTTGAAAGAGGGTTTGTAGGGACTTTGTTGAAACTTGTAACTCCTTAATCGTCGCCTATTGGTACGGGTTTGCGCTTTAGTGTGATCCAACAGTTGGAAATGAATGCAATGAACTCTGTTGGGAATTTTGTCGGTGCAAATGGGCGAGTGTTTGTTCATGTGGATGCATTTTTGAAGCATTATTACACTGAGAAAAATCTAGTTCTGCCGAGAAATTATATGTTCCCCTGAAGAGATGTTTTGACGTATCGAATCAATTTACTTGTGGGGAAAAAAGAAAGTTTCCACCAAAATACGATAATTTTCGTAGTAGCAATTGTTCTCGTGAAACATTTATATTTCGGGTAAATACATTCGTTTTACAGAGAATTATATGAGGCTCCGCTTTTATCAAGTGAATGTTATTGAGTAGTGTATATCTTTGTCCAACAAACACTTATAATTTCCATGGAACAAATGATAATTTCAAGAGGAAACTACAATTTTCTTGCCGAAAACTGTGTTATTGGCAAAACTATATAATTTCGAGGAGACAATTTTTTTGGGAAACAAATATTCTTTCCTCGTCAATGTATTCTTTGTGTGGTATAAACCTGTGGAGTTCTCTCGGATCGAATGATTGTCCTACAATAGATTATATTTTTTTCTGCCAACAGTTCTTCTTTTTTATCGTTATTTTACATCGTTTCGACCCGGTTAGGGTATACTGCGATGATGATCAAGACTTTAAATGGTTAGATCGCACCATTCTACCCGGCCGGAACCCGAACTTACCCACTACGCCAAGCCACCGGGTCTGCCAACAGTTTGAATTTTTCCAGAGATATTTCTGATGGTCACGACAAAAATTTAATTTTTGTGAAAGATATTAAATTTGCTTTTATCAAGTCGGTTAATTTCCCTCAAGTAAATTTGTTTCACGTTATTGTTTTTCGACAGAGCTATTTTTTTCTCTTAGTGCAGAATGATAAAAAAACATTTTGTTCGGAATCGTAAAAATTTTATTAATATTCATAATTTTACCACAAATCCATTTCAGATCTAAAAAAAACGGTTTCCAAAAGTTCAAACAATTTCAATTATTTATTTATAAACAACGAATGTTTAAAAAATTTCTAATTCTGTGCAAAATGTGACTTGAATGACACTGAATATTCATGATTTTTTTCAATTTTTTCTCACGCAATTTAATTGACAAATTTGATGATTGAAAATGGTTGAATTTATAGTGTGATCTGTACCAAACTATAAAAGCCACTTGGATATCCTTAATATCTTAATGTGAGACTCTAAAAATGCCTAAAAATGACTCAATTTCCTACCCCACATTTTCTAGTCTGCGCAACCTGTTTGTTCCCCAATCAGTCCGCTATATCTAAAACCGCAATCAGGAAGATCTGATAAAACGCAAGTGGTAATTCCCCCCTCCCCCTCTCTCCAAAATCAACCAAACTCGCTAAATCCTGCCCTTCCCAAAAAACTCAATAACAAACCACTTGAAACCCTCATAACTCTATTTTTCCAATTCCAGCGAGACTCTGCATGGCGAACTCCTTCTCGGAGCCAACGAGAGAATGGAACACACTCGACTTGTCGGATTAATCGCCCTGGAGATATCACGAATTCGTTTTACCCAGCCACTGGTATGTTTGATACATTCTTTCTCCTCTATTTAATTCTCTCTTTGTCTCTGGTTGCTCTACAAAATCGTCCATTTTATTCGCCGCTCTCTTCCATCCACTGGGACAAATGTTATCCACTGCACGAGGTAGAGAGCATTGCTCTCGTACTTTAGCGACGTCGTTTCTCGTAAACAGCATTTAAAAGTTGAACGAAAATTACCAGCGAGACGGGAGGGGGGGGGGCACATAATGTGGGTTTCGTGTCTCTTGGCTTCTTATTCGTAATTAATTTGCCGGTTAACGTCAACCTTCTTCAGAGAGGGAGGCGCGATGGGTTCTGGCGTAGCTGAGATGGGCAAGAGGGCAGGGGTGTGTGTATGTTTATGTGTGGGTGTGTATGTGTGTGTGTGTGGAGTTGTCTTCGTTCGAAGCCTCTGTCATTGTGCTTGCTTGAGCTTTCTCGATACCCTACAGTCGAACATGACGATAGCAACTCCCAACTGCTGCACACCGCGAATCTCGAGGATGTGGGCGCTGCGCAGCGTAATGGCGAGTAAGCAAACTCACAAGAACCGGACTTTGGGGCGGGGGAGGGAGTGTAATTGTTCCGCTGCGTTAATTTCAAGGCCGACTGTGGGGCGACCATTACCGGGTTTCGAGCGACCACTGAAGACTAACATTGTCGAGCGACAGGGGTTGGGGGTTCCTTTGGTCTCCTCCTGGGGAGCGGTGGGGAAAAAATGAATGAAGTCTGTTTTGTGCGGAATTTTAGCGTTTAGTTAGCTCGGTTTGTAGAGGAAAACTATAGTATAATAGTTTTATTATATTATACACGGAGAGAAAAATTTGATAAAAATTACCAGAAAAAATACGTAAACATTACGTTTCGAAAGGTAATCCGCGAACGAAGTAAAATTCAATAAAAAGTGTGAGTCGGAACTGAAATTATACGAATAGCCACGTAAATTCTACGATTTGTTCCGTAAAAATTAACCACCTCTCTGATGACTAACCGCTGTGGGGACAACAAGTCGTTCCGTAATTTTTCCCCAACGATTGAGAAATTTTACGGAATGGAACGTAGAAATAACGCACCAGCTTCATAAAAATTGTTGAACGTTCAAGAATTTTTGATTTTGGAGGCATAATAAGTCGGCAAGTTTCTGTAAGATTTCACTTCTTCGGGAAAAATTACGTGACAATTTCGTACTTTGTTCGGTGATGAACCTGAAAATTCACTGAACGTATCAGATTTCTTCTCTTCCATTCCTATAAAAATCGCCGGAAGACGATTCCCCATTGCGGATTACGTGAATTGTTCCGTAATTTTTACTGAGTATTTCTCTTCGCGTACAATAGTTCACATAATGTTAGGTAAATGACCCTTAATTTTAAGAAAAACGAAGAAACTGAATGACTTGATGAATGAATAAGTGTAAATTTGATTTGCGAGGATCAGTTTTATGATAGGGAATTGAGAAGTCCTGTTGTGGACAATAGAGGATGCAGTTGAAGTTTTATATAATTGATTAAGCGTGTTAGGAGGCAACGATGTTGAAACTAAGAGACAACAAATTTTTGAGAAAAATGAAAACATTCAGTTGCTGCATTCAGTTAAGAAGCCTTGTTAACAGTAACTAAATCGTCCCAGCTTTCCTATCATGTGCCATTTTATCTCGATATTGGAAAGAAGAAAGAACCGCTGACTCCGCTAAAATTCCCACGAAACATAACATATTCGAGTGAACATGAATTTTTGAGTTCCTCGATATTTCATTCCACCTGAGGTACCGTAGATTCAACAGCAGAGCGATTGGGGCGAACCATATAACCCATGCAGCCGTTGGTATTGAGATTCTGTTGGTGCAGCTTCAGCCCACCAGCTCGTAAATCGACATTGACGTACAAATATCACTGGTCCCTACGGAGGAGTCTTGTGCGATCGTAACATTCCGATTTTCCTTGGGGTGTTGCTACGTTTTTGATGGCGAGTGGAATCGGTGCCAGCCGCCGAGCAATTAAAGCCCCTCCATACGGTGGTATACCCGCAATAAAGGGATTGGAAATACCAGCGCGACTTGAAATGATCATTCCCGAAGTATCTACACCGGCAAGAG